TGGTTGGTATAAATGTCATTATAGACATAACGTTTCGACCAAGAACACTTTAGTGATCAGGTGTCCATAGTTTGGCTGATAAGCAATACCTGTTGATTATTGCGTTATTCACTCCCTGCTGAACTGGTGCTTCACTTGCTGATCCAACACACGTATAACCGACTCTTATATCCACTCCTATATTCACCACGCAATGGATATAGTCTATTGATAATTATTCCTCTCAGAATTGTAATACTGAAGAAGTATTACAAAGACACAAGAGGACAAAGAAAACAAATAAGGACAGGAAAACAGAAAATGACAACAATTGTACAGTTTATCACATAAGTATTTTTTCATCGTTTATTACAATCTTTAGAACTTTATTTTTTACATTATTTTTCAGTATTTTGCCATCGCAGCTTCTTTCACGCAAGTTTCATGTCTTCGTATAAATTATATAGTTATATCAATTATTTAAAGATTATACAAAAAGAATATATTACTTATTGTCTACATACCCCGAACACACAAATTTAGGTTGAAATTACATAAATAAATCAAAAGAACGAAGTAGAAATAAGGAAAATATAACAGATGCATCAATAAAAGTAATGACAGATAAGCATCACCCAAATGAACTGACTTCTCTGTTTCAAAGAATTAACAAAGTATTTAATTGTTTAGTTTTTAAAATAGGATCACACACGCATTATTTGAAAATACGTTAACATTAGAAAGATCTTAAGTGTAAAAATGAAAGAAACATGAAGTAATGCGGTATTGAATATATCCAAATAAATTTGATCAGTTTAAAAAAATAGTAATCTGAATTATACAATTCTGAAATATTTAAATGCAATATTAAATTGCATAAATATAAGCTCACAACCGACGCATTATTTGGAAAACAGCACAAACAACGGGCTTTACAGCAATGAAAATTACGAAAGTTGCGGTAGATAATTTGGTTACAGAAGCAGATGAGATGAGTTGAGGCGATGAGTAAATATCTTGATTTTCATCATTCGTATTAACTAGTCAACAGTGAAAGTAACAGAATTTACTACTGTTGCTTTAAAGGCAATAAAATATTTATATTTTAAGCTTTAAAACGAATAAATTACATTTTACAGTTTTGTATAGTAACACTATTATTTTATTTCTGTTAGAAAGAAAAAAAAAAAGAAAAAAATAAGCGGTTTAAATCCTAAGGAGAGAAAACTCATCATAAAAAAAAAACGAATGTTTTAAAAGTTTCATTGAAATAAAAAAATGAAATCAATTGAAAAGATTGTTTTTAAATAAAGTTTACGAATGTCTAAAACAGAAGAATATTTAGGATTTTTTAAACTAGCGATACGTTTAGAAACTTGATATTTATTAGAGTAAATAAATAATAATAAACCTGATATTTATTAGAGTAAATAAATAATAATAAACCTGATATTTATCAGAGTAAATAAATAATTTCCGTTTTTGTAATGACGAATATACCATCCTGACTACTATTCATACAAAGCAGTTAAGAATACATTTAGAATACACTAAACATGGGTTCCATACGACAAGTTGGTAAGTATAAATCTCCAAAATCAGCCTCAAAAGCTGAGCTCTATGAAAGAAAGGTAATGTTGTGTATGTATTTTGATCGTCGGAATATTATTCATTTAACCATCTAAAAAGGGCAATGAAATGTATAAATGCACAATTATATGCCCGGCAGCCGTAGCGCGTCCATAAAAGTTTATTCGAAAAGCGGAGGAGACCATTTTTCCTAATGACTAGTGTGAACTCGTCAATAGGAAAAATGGTCTCCTCCGTGGCAACGTACAGTAAAACTAACACAGGAACTCAGTTGTTCAGTTCTAATCTAACCGTCATATTCACCTGACATTGCACCAATCGATTATTACCTTTTTTGATCACTGCAAAACGCTTTGATGGTGAAAAATTCATCAAATTTGTTTGTCGGAAAGATTTTCGCATAAAAACCTGTTTACTCAAAAAGGTATCGAAGATCTTCCTGATGAGTGGCAAGTCAGTGCAAACAATGGGGAATTTATAACTGAATAAAATGTTATGGTTTTTTATTTTTTCGATGAATAAATTTGATAAACAAAAACGGAAATTATTTATGACTCAATCTATATTTGATTTTCTGAATGATATTAAATAAGTCAGTGAGTGTAATGTATATTCAGTATTTGTAGAGCATAATTTATAAGTTTATCTGTTGGATAAATAAACTCATGAGGTTACCTGAATTAAGATTATTATATAAGAATACTGAATTATATTGACGATGTAGATACATTCTTGCTTCAACATCTGTCTTTAATTCTGAGGTGAGGTATTGTAACTATTTACACTAATTACATTGTTAGGAATGTTGTCCTCGTTTTTATCGCCATATTCCCGACGTTTCGCCCGTTGTACGCTCCCGCCTTCTTCAGGTGACATTTCTTGGAATTTCCCACTTAAATAAAGGGTTCGGTTCGAAATTCCAAGAAATATCACCTGAAGAAGGCCGAGGCGCACAGCGGCCGAGACGTCGTGAATATGACAATAAAGATAAGGACAACATTCCGTAGAATGTAAATAGTGTGAACTTTCTTGCTTATTGCATTTTTTTATATACATATATCGAATAAGCGCCGAATGATGCCAAACATTGACAAAAATCAAAATATTTGACCCAAGAAAAATGCCGTAAAATTCTTTATATACCTCTGTGATATTCATGCAGATGTCGCTATGATAAAAGAGTTATTAGCGGTGGTTCTCAAAAATGCGTGCTATAACAAAGGCATAAAGGCAAATAAAGAATATAGTTTTTAGTGCAACAGATGAATGTTCTCTGGTAAAAAGGGAGGGGCATAGGTTTTCTAGGTGTATAAATATTTGAGAGAAACGTAAATCTTGAAACGCATTGAAAATATCTTAAGGTTATGCGAGAAAAAGCAATTTATTAAATTTTACAAACTGAGGAATTCATAAAAGCTTTCTATAGTTTTTATATTGGCTAAAAACAGCAGGCTATGCATGATAGGCATGAAATAAATAAAGGCCGGTTAAGCAACAAGACACTTCTGTCTAGAAAATTGATGTGGCTGCTATTTAAATATTAAAGAAACAAAAAGACAACTGGATAGTAACAAGGAAGGGAAGTTAATATGAGATGCTGAAAGTGAGAAATAAAAGTAGCGTTGAAACAATGATTCTTTCTCTAAGTTCAACAGTTGCAGTTATATTTCTCGTCATAGTTAAGGATTTATATTACTCCAAAAGGGTTGAAGGGGAACATTCTTCATATATATATATATATATATATATATATATATATATATATATATATATATATATATATATATATATATATATATATATATATATGAAGAATGTTCCATATATATATGAAGTTGCGTATTTTACATATAAATTTTTACAGGTTCACATCGTTTCTGTAGTAATGCCTGAGTTGATGATCATTATCAATCAATAATATGTTATAGAGAAACGAAACAAGTCAGTGAAGTTGTATTTAAACGATCAGTCATTTCTAAGACTGGCTGTTATTGATATGTATTGTTGTTAATTTCGCTTCTTTTGGCAGGTGTTACATGATTTTTGGCAATATCGTAACATGTATCCAGCGTTACGTTCACATTGCTTGCCGTTGGCCCAGACTGGACAAAGTGATGAAGTGTCTTTGCAGCCTGAAAATAGAATATAAAATAAAATTTAAAAACAAATTTAAAACGGGGTGAGCATGAAAATAATAATAATGTATATGTATATTACACACACACACACACACACACACACACACACACACACACACACACACACACACACATATATATATATATATATATACTTGTAAAAACAATATATATATTGTAAAAAAATGTATATTATACTTCAGATAGCAGACACGGAAAGCAAACTACAAATTCCCTACAGGAGGTAGCGAAGGAGAGCGAGAAGAAGGAGCTAAGCATAAACTACAAGATGACCGAATGCATGATCATCAGCAAAAAGATGAGCCCGAAATGCGATTTGCAGATCGGGAACACTAAAATCAAGCAGGTGTGGAAATTTAGATATCTGGGAAGTGTTCTGATAGAGGACGGAAGTGCAACGCTGAGATCCGAAGACGTACTGAGATGGCTAAAGACGCATTCCAAAAGCTATAAAGAGTATTACGAGACTGGAGGATTTCGTTAGTAACGAAAAAAAAAAGAAAAGAAAAGAGTACTGAACTGCTACATGATATCTGTCTTCCTTTATGGTAGAGAATGTTGGACGAGGCAACTGAAGTATGGTTCTACAGAAGAATGCTAAGGACACCATGGACCGAACATGTGAGCAACGATGAGATTTTGGAGAGGATGCAAACAAAGAGGAAACTTAACATCAGGAAGAGGCAATTGAAATTTCTAGGACACGTAATAAGAAAGGAGGGCTTGGGAAATCTGATACTCACAGGGCAGATAGAGGGAAAGAGGAACAAGGAAAAGCAACGCATGACATACTTAACGGAGTTAAGCAAGTGGATGGCAGAACAGGGTCTGGGAGGAATAACAAAAAGACAAAACTTGACCGATAACTACTAATGGTGGTACACCAAAACATCAGTTTTTTTTAGCCCCTTCAAAAACACCTGGATAATTCGAATGTATGCTCCTAAAGTTCAATGACAAGGGAACAATTCGACCGACTGACATACCACACACACACAAAAATAAACACACACATCTCTCTCTCAATATATATATATATATATATATATACAGAGAGAGAGAGAGAGAGAGAGAGAGAGAGAGAGAGAAGAGTAAGTCTGAAGTTATGCAAATCGCATTAACCTCAATAACTCAAATTTGCATTGAAGAATTTTTGCCAGATTTTAAACGATAAATTAAGACGTCAGAGTCTATTTTTTAGGTAGTTTCAACGTGTTTTATTAAAGTTACTGGGCTTATTATAAAAACTGCTGTCTGAAGTTATTATGCAACCAGGAAATTACTTTTTACTTGCAATAGGAAGGTAATAAATTAATCAACTCTTATAATAGGACAAATAACAAACATATATGGTAAGTCTTTGAAGCAGTTACATCTTAATATAGTGACCCTTCTTCTAAATAACAGTTAGCAATGTATTATCCATTGATTTTGTTAAATTTTTTACTTCACCAAGTTCCATTTACAACATTGCGATTTTAATTGCTTCTCCTAAGTCGACTTTGCTGTTATATTGTTTGACATCTAATTTAATGTTCATAATTGACCATAAATTTTCGATTGGATTTAGATAGCAATTTGATAGTAGCCATTCCATTATCTTCTCCCCTTTAAACCTTTTACATTCACGGGTAAAAAAACAAATTAAAAAATTCACAGGTAATCTTAAATATATAAGAAGTATCATTGTTGTGCATAAATTCACACTTCATTTTGAAATTACGTGACTGAGACTAATACCATTTAAATAACGTCTTCTCCGTGATTTCGCCATAGTTGGCATCGTTCAGTTTCATTCCTTCATCGACTTTGAATGGTCTAATAATGGTTTGGTCAACAATTCTAGCCCATATCATCACACTACTACTTCCTTTTCTGTCTACTTTTAGCCACGGATAAAATTCATCTTTTGGCCCATCCATAACATCGTTCGAGTGTCGCCTAAAGTTTGTCAGTGAAATTTGCTTTAGAAAAGTAAATTTTCATGTATTTATTTAAAGTATTCTGCACTTTTTGTACTTCTTGACTCACTTAATTCCAGCCTGTTCAAAGATCTGAGCACTGATCAAAAGATGTTGTTTTGTTATAACTTTCTTTAGTTAAAGGTGTTGAATCTACCTAAAAATTTAACTCAAGCTTTGTTAATCGTTTAAAATTTGGCAAAAGCTTTTCAAAGCAAATTCGAATTGCAAACTAACTTCAGACGGACTGTAGATATAGATATTGATATATATTTTTTATAATTTCGAACTTATAACCAATTATCATTAATGCCATATCTCGTTTCATTTTAAATATACAAAAACATTTTTGCCGTCCAATATATATATATATATATATATATATATATATATATATATATATATATATATTAGAGAGAAGTTGTAGCTAAGAGATGGCACACAAGTCGATATCCAATCAATATCAACTGAGCCACCGTGAAGAAGGGATATGATATTGTAAAACCCGAATTCCCTAATGAACTACACTTAAAAACATCACTGAAAACTCGAAGCTCAAATTAAAGGGTGGATGAAAATTTCTGAATATTTAATAAAATGGATGATTGGAATAAGAATGTCTCGGGTGAATTTTTCTCCAAAAAATAGAAAGCGTTCCTGCTCGTCTATTTGAAAGTAAAAATTGTCAGCTTTTGGGAAATGGATTTGGTCGGAGGTGTATCGGTGTTGGTAATGCTTAGGAAACATGTTTGATTCTGATTTGTAGTTTGTTCGACCTTCACTGAATGCCCTATACTTGTGGACTTGTTGCAAAACTCATCTAAGCTTAGTAAATAATAAGTGGGTTAAACAGAGAACGTTTCAGCTCCCTCTTGTATATAATAGTCTACTACATTTTTTTTTTATAAAGGCACTGATCTACTTTCAAACTTACCGTTGCAATTATTGCATGACTTTTTGCAATAAATCAGCATATATCCACTGTTGGTTGTGCACATGTCACCATTTTGGGCCCAAACAGCACAAGACTTGTCGTCATCTACGCATTCAGCTATAAAGACAAAAAAAAATGAAAAAATCATAGAATTTGTGCAGATTTTGGAAAAAAATTGTAGGTAACGAGTTTATAATTCAAAATTGTAAAGATAAGTTATTTTTCTGTTTATTCATGCTGTCTTAAGAAGAAGAAAAATTTGGAATAAACTTAAAGAAGATCACTGATTTTTTTTTTCGGTTTATCAATTCATTTTGGGTCATTTAAAGCCGAAACTTTAATTTAGATTATAAAAGTGCTTCTACTTTTTTGCGAATACATTAACACTATTTTTTTGAGATAAAAATCATTTTTCCAGATCAAATCTGGCTGCACATGAATGAATGTAATGAATTTGTCTGAAATTCGAACTCGGCTCTCTGATTTCTCATTCCGAGCCGTTATCGATTACACCAGCCGCACAGCTATGTTCATTGCGTGAAAAGGAAAGAAGCGGAAATTATATTTTTTTTATTTATTTTATATTTTTATTTACTTATTCATGTCGTCTTCAAGACAAAATAATTTCTTTTCGTTTACCAAAAAATTGGGACTAAACTTAAAGAAACGTAAAGATGAAGGGGGTTATGTCGAAAAGGAGTATTTATTGCACTAAATAAATGTTCTTTTTATTTCTTTTTTATTTTGAGACTACAGGCTTATTGACAAACCTAGGTATATACATATAGTTGCAAGAAGCGAAGGAGCATGATAAAAATGTCCAAGACATCAAGGTAACAGGAAAAATTATTATAGATGCTAAACAATCCCTGTCGATGAACCAAAAGTCTAAGGGCATTAAATCATAGAGTTTTTTCTTCAGAAAATAGTAAACTTCAAACGTTTCTAAGATAGTAACATGTTTTCTATGACATTCAGTTTTCAATATTTGGCTTCTGTTTCTATTGTGGCTTTCATTGTTATTTGTATTTACAGAAAAATCTTCCTAAATAATATGAATAATATGAATCTACGTACTTCAGTTTAAAATTGTTATTGCATAAATTAAATGTATAATTACTATTATTATTATGTACTTCTTATAAAACATCTTAGGAATTACCGTAAATCTAGGAAAAAAGATAAATTTCCCGAAATTGATTATGGCATTTGCGAAGCAGCAAAACATTAAAATAGGCAAAATATTTATAAAGATTTATACACGAAGCGAAGAATTCATTTTTCTGCATTGAGTTCTTCGTTGCAATTTAAATTTAAATTGGCTGTAGAGAAGACACATGGCAACAGCAAGTGACTGATGCCATTAAAAACTATACTTAAAAAAACCCTCCAAAAAACCTCTCTTTTCCTTTTCCCCATTGACCCTAAAGTCGGCGATTCAAGTATTATATTTCTTGTTTCAAAAACATACATTCGGACTGTCATGTTAAAAATGTACTTTTATCGTACTTTGTCGGCAAAACTTTTATTTTATAGCTATTTTATGAAATAAATATTTAATAAAATTCCAGCCTCTCCTGTATTTTGTTTACGCTCCATATCGTTTTTTAAACACATAGGGTGGTATAGATGCCTCCTCGGTAAATAGACATACCACATTACAATCATTTCCATTCCAGTTGAGCGCGGAGCCAAGAAAGCCTTCTTTAGAACAACTCAATTATATTCCAGTCAAAATCGACAATAAAGTTTATCATCACCTACCACAAAAGTCTGTCCTTCGCCATGTTTATTAAATATTTCCTCTTTGGTATCGATATCTAAACATATTTTTCTTACTTTTGTCATCCAACGTATTTTTTCTTTTTGTTTTTTAGGAAGGTCAGTTGTAAAAATGTCGCTAGCTATCTTTTTATATTGAAATTTCAGAACATACCGCAGTTATTGGTCATTGGAAATCGGAGAGCTGAGTTCGAAAGCCAGTTGGCTTCGTTATCTTCATCTACGCACAAATACTCTTGGGGAAGGTATGAATTCATCTCCTCCCCAAGCTATGGATTAAAAAAATTATGTAAAATCATTGTTATTCTCAAAAATAATTGTTAATGCAATATTCACTCGCCCAAAAAAAAAAAAAAAAAAAAAAAAAAGACAGAAAGCAAAAAGCAATTATTCTGAAAATCAAAATATATTTCGGTTTTAAATAAACGTAAAAAAAAAGTCAGTCAATCAATACCGGCCATTCTCACTGTTTACGTACTTGAAGGGGGTTCAGTTGTAGGCTCGACTGTTCGACCCTCATCTGTGCACAGACCGCAAGTTTTTCGGCAGTTCTTTCCCATCCAATCAGGATTGAAGTTGCAGTGTCCATTCTTTTGCCATTGCTGGCATTCGTATAGGTCAGGGTGTTTATCTCGGCATTCACCAGCTGAATTTGAAAAAGGAATGGGCCATTATGAAATGCAAAAAATAAATGACTACATATGTGTATGTGTACGTGTGTGTATGTATCTGCATGCATGCGCATGTATATACTTAGGCAGTAAATGCTACAAATTTCCTTATATTGGGACGCTTGTTTTGAAAAAAATTCCATAGCGACAGCGGATAAATTAAAAATAATTATAACAGAGCACGTTCACGCGTGTTTTTTTTTTTTTTTTTTTTTTAAATCACTATCACAACGAAATAGAGATTTTATCACAGTTACAATAAGTTTGTCTTTCTAATTAATCACCACTGAGGATGATCTTCTAGGAGAGCGTAAGTATTTGGGTAGGAAAAAATTATGGCATCTTCCTTGATGAATTTCATCTTAACATCAAGGAACTGATTAGAAAACTAGAAACGATCATTATAAAATAAAAATACACAATATGTCTATATTATTCAATGAAACATATTTGAAAGAAGATATACTGCCTATATATATATATATATATATATATATATATATATATATATATATATGTGTGTGTGTGTGTATTTTATTATAAATTTACTAATTTCAATATGGTTCCATCGTTACACAGGAATTACCATGTTTCAAAAACAGAAACTAAAACTTCAAATTTAATTAAAGAATTATAATGTTTATGCTTTACAGAATTGTATTGAGCACTGATTTTAAAAATAAAATAATTAATAAGAACACCGGATTATAAATTTTACTGTTCTTTCTCATTATTTTGATATATATATATATATATATATATATATATATATATATATATTATCATATATATATATATATATATATATATATATATATATATATATATATATATATATATATATATATATATATATATATATATATATATATATATATATATATATATATATATATATATATATATATATATATATATATATATATATATATATATATATATATATATATATATATATATATATATATATATATATATATATATATATATTATATATATATATATATATATATATGTATTATTTAAATGGGCCCTTATGGAGCTATGATCTGTGTGATGAAGAGCCACCTGTCATGAAAAGCGTGTATGTTCGACGTAATTATTCATGAATTTTGTTTTGGTCAAAACGCAGTTCCATATTTGGGGTATTTTTTAACCGTAAAATCCAGCGGAGCCTGATTATACTAGCTTGAAACTTATCAACTTTGTTATACAACAATATTTAAATAATAACTGTTGGCCGCTCGTTCCAGAGTATGCCTGTTTGCTAGAGTAGTTATCCCATGCACATGGTAGACGCCTGCTGAGGTACATTTGTGTTCAACATCCACTGAATTCACTTGTGATTTATGCCGCAACGATTTTGAGCAGAATTAATTACAGTTTCTGAGAAAGAGCGCATCCTCTGTCATGATGAACAGTCTGAACAAGACCAGTGTTTTTAAACCCTCGGTCACGATGACTTTGACATTGTGCAAGCACAAGCATCAACGAACAATTCTGTCTACCTAATTTCACTCACAAGGCTTGGGTCAACCAATGGTAAGGTTTTCAAGCACTTTTCCAACGATGCTGCACGCTATATATATATATATATATATATATATATATATATATATATATATATATATATATATATATATAATAATGAAAGCCACGGCCACGTATACTTTCTTAATATGTATATATAGAAAAAGTTGCAAATTAAAAAAATAATGATGTTTTTTTTATGAAGGTATTTATTTATTTATATACATATTTGATATTTCAGATTGACCTCAATCTTTCTTCAGAAATAACTGTTTGTTTACAAGTAGCGTCCGTCGCGAGATGTGGACGTCACGTGATATGGAACGCCACTGTGTTCGAATATTCTTAACGTAAATCTAAACTGTAATATTATTTTAGATGTTGTTTAAAAATTTTTTTAAATTTAACTATATCTAAAAAAATGTTTAAGTATTGAAATATTTATATGACTTTTTAAACCAACGTTAGTATATTTTGTGGCTTTCTGAATCCAATGAGAGATGACAAGTCCATCCAAAATTTAAAGAAAATAACGCATTCCAAATCTATACGTGAAAAACCTGCAAAAAATCATCTGAATCCCGTATCGACAAACTAGAATTATTATAAACTTACGTAAAGCAATGTCTACGGTTTTTCAGGTTGTCATGGAATCCATTAATTTCTTGAAACTTCGGATGGACGCGTTGACTCTTCTTGAATTCGGTGTACCACAAATTATACAAACGTTGGTTTTAAAAGTCGAAAGCATGTGAAACATGATTATCCACCACACACACACACACACACACACACACACACTATATATATATATATATATATATATATATATATATATATATATATATAAGTATACTGTTTCTCCTAAAATGTGTCCATGTGTAAATGATGCATAATACTGATTACTCACTTGTGGTTGGGCTTGTAGTAGGTTCTGTAACTGGGTAATCTGTTCTGTCTATTTCTTCTTGGGTGCAAAGTTTGCAGGCTTTTCTGCAATTTTCTCTCATATACTCTTTATTTCTGTCGCAATTACCATCTTCCGCCCAACGTTTACAGCTGGCATCTTCATACAAGTTAACACAGGTTCCTATAAACAATAATAATGTCAGCAATGGTTGAATGAAAAAAATATATAATTTTTCTTTTAAAATGAATTATGATTAAATGTTTTCAATGGTGTCTACATAAAAGATAGAAGAATTGATATTACATTTCATAGGAGGATTAATACGGCAGTTAAGAATTCTTTTTCTTTGTTTCTAACGAATATTTCCTGTATCTTGATATTACGTTGGAACAAAAATTCGTAACATTTTTAGTAGTGACGCTTGAACACGTGATTCCGTTTCAAACGTGACCGAAATTTATGACATATATACATATTTTGAAAAGTGACATTCCAATGCATCTTTCTATACGATTCCCATATGGATTGTGAATTTTAAATGATGTTGCGTTAAAGTGAATATGAAAGAAGATGAGATTCAGTGTTGTAACTGGATTCTTTTTTATTACCGGAAACTAAAAGACGCTATAGAAAAAACAAAAAGAAAAACGATTTGCCGTTTATGGGGATGGTACCACTGCTGGGAATAATCTTTGTAAGTGGTTCGCTACATTCACAAGTAGAAGTTTTTATTTGGAAGGTCAAGAATGTTCCGGCAGTTATTAATGATGACCAAATCGAAACGCTGATTAAAAATAGCCTAAATCATATAACACGGGGCATCGCAGAGATACTACACATATCCCATGAGCGTTTTAAGACATGTAAAAATATTTGGCTACGTGAATTACTAATGTTTAGGATTCCAGGATTTAAAATAAAAAAAAAAATGAGCCACATTTCTATCTGAAATTCAAACGCAACAAAACGATCCATTTTGGAAAAGAATGATCGCAGTTGATGAAAAATGAATATTACAAAGGAAACCAAAAATAAGTCGCCGTTAACCATTAAGTAGAAATATATAGGATTGGAAGGGCATTCTGTATTACTAGCTTCTTCCGCAAAATCACTTTGAATTCAGGCAATTATAGCGCCCAGTTGGACCAATTAAAAATAACAATCGATGAAAAGCGCCCGGAATTGACCAATCAAAAGGACAACGCTAAACTTCACATCACAAGTCTGACAGAAATTGGTACAGCTTGGTTCAGTGGTTCCACTACACTCTCCTGACCTTGCATTTTCATGTTATCATTTATTTCGATCCCTACAAAATTCTCTTAATGAGTACTTAAATTCTCTGGAAAATGCATTTAAGCCAGTTCATCATCCAGAAAGATGCCAAAATATGGGTAGATGAAATCATGAAGAGGCTTCAAAGATGGCGAAAGGTAAGAGAACAGAATGACACGTATGTTTTTGAATAATCTATGTACCAATAGCTAAATATTGTCTTTGATATTCGCTTAATAATACTATGAATCAATAGGTTTCTTTTTTCTTTTCTTTTTAATGCATCATTCCAATATGCCTTCGGATTTCCATGTCACCTTTTCCATCGTCTGTTATAACACCAGACAGTTAAATTTTCCGACTTGGTTGATTTTGACGTCTCCAGTTTTTAGTTCACGTCTTGCTAACGACCATACATTCTGTTTTCTTACAATTAATTTCTTCCTATTTTACATTATTACCTTGTCATGTATTTCCTGCAGTTTGCTCCTGTGTTTACCACGAACTCGTTGTCATCTTCGTATCTTATACCCACGACCCCGTGTTAAAGTCAACAAAAATTTAGTAAATATTTAATAAAATATATTTGCGAATAGGAAACTAAAAGGTTAAAAACTCGTCGTATGAACGAGTTTCCTAAACTAATAAAACAATTCGCTGTAAGATTAAAATATGGAACTCAGAGAGCAATCATGAAGTTTAAAAGTACCGAGGCATCTGCTTTTCCAATTCAGTTAATAAGAAATACAATATAACTCACCCGTTTCACATTTGTTACAAGATTTTCGGCAATATATAAGCATGAATTCTGGATTCTTGTCGCACTGATTTGTTTGTGCCCACACCTTACAGTTCTCGGGAATTTCGTAAGTATCTATGCATTTGGGCACTGCTGAAATAAACACATTATTATTTAGAAAACTCGTGCATTACTATAAAATAATGAATTTAGAAATATATCTCCTTTTAGTTAAAAAGAAAAAACTATCACTGAGAATAAAAATACTGTTTTATCAGATATTAATTTATCAACCAATTTTTAAGAGAAATAATAGCAGAGAAAAAGACATTTGGAAACAATTATTATTGTCAATTATAGTGTCAAAATGATGGGCTTATTTACGTTTAGTTCGGCACACCTGTCTAAGATCAAAGCGTTACTTCCTAGCCACTTCAACCCAGATTGAGTATACATGAATGTTCCAGAAAAATGTTACACACACACACACACACACACACACACACACACACACACACATATATATATATATATATATATATACAGGTAATAATCCGTTGGTGAATAATACAAGTGAATCCTATTAATAAAAATATCAAAAGGGATTCACAAAGAGAGCTCGATGTTTTATTCAAACAGACCATACATTTACATACAATAGGAATTAAGATTTGATTTTTTCTTATGCATCTGGTGGTTTGAAAATCCTACAAATTATTTTTAATTTGAAGGCGAAATGTTTTTTTTTTATACCATTGAATACGATAATTATTTTGCATGTAAAACGTTACTTAATATGATTTTATAAAAGCGGTCTAAAACCATAAGTTAGAAGTAAATATACACAAAATTTTTGCATGTAAACATATGAAATGTACACATTTAAAAAAACCCCTGAAAACAAATACCCTTTTGAAGAATATTTAATATAAGTATTTAATTGATATGAAATTGTTGATTTATTATTCCCTATTTACCACATTCATCACGAGATCTCACTATTAACCCAAAGAAATAAACAAAGCAAATACTTACGTGTTGGTTTCGTTACAGTACTGTTGCCATTACAGGTACGACAAGACTTAGGACAATTGGGCAACATCCAATCAGCGTTGATCCGGCATTCTCCTTCTCTTGCCCACTGGTCACACTTTTCTGAGTTGGTGTAAACGTTCTCACACGAAGCTGTCAAAATAAAAACAAACGTTTTATTTTGTAGCGTATGCAGTTAACTATTTCAGAGAAAATTTATGTAATTTAACTTTGATGAATTTTAATGCGTTTTTGTATAAAAATATATATCCGTTAGACTTACTTCCTGGAGGTGTACCGGTACACATTTGACAACTTTTACGACAATGTCTGTTCATCCAATTGGTGTTCGTGATACAGTCGCCATTTTGTGCCCAGTCATAACATTTGTTGGTATCGTATAAATCATGACAATCTCCAGCTGGGAATGAAAGAGAA